AGTAGGCCCAAAACGTCAGCCTTCCTGCTCCTCTGATGCTGCTTGGCCTGCTGTGTTCATCCAGCTCTACACCTTGTTGTCTTTAACATAGATTGACATACCAGGAGTCAAAATATGCTTCAAGGACTCTACGAGATTTTACCAGGAGATTTTAAAGGTTTTGATTTTTGGGACTCTGTGCATAAAGGTTTCACATAGGAACCAAACTGTTCTTGAACCTCTAAGTTTTAAACTTGCTCTATGACTCCATTCAAGCATATTGAAACAAATGAAAGACTTGATGCTGGGCAGATGACAAACAGTCCAACAATAATTAAACAGAAATGGAAAGAACTGTGGATGCTGTAAATCAGGAACAAGAAAAGAAGTTTTCCTTTCTTTATCCCGTCCCCATTTCCCCTAAATCCCTTGTTCACTCCTTCAGTGACTAATGTTAAACAAACTCCTGAGTTTGGACCCGAAATGTTAACTCTCATTTCTCTTTATAGATGCCGCCAAACCTCCAGAGCTTTTCCAGCAATTTACAGCGTCCGATTTTTGACTTTTTGTTTTGTTATTGCTAATCCAGCATTAGTTTGTAAACCTAAAATCTAGATTCAAGTGAAGGTTTATAAAAGGAAAAATTTTTTTTGTGAAGAAACAAACTGGGCAATCATATCCCTAAATAAGTGAAATTAGCTGTAATTGTGAAAACTACTGTGCTGTGGGACTGAAAAGCTAACACGATGGTTTAAGCATTAAGAAAGGTTGCTCCCATCTTTGCTTTCTCAAGGACTATTTGAAATGATTTGAGGACAACTTAACCTGTTGCCTCATGTATTTTGAACCTCGCATATTACCTAAAATATGATGGTGGTTTTCGATTTCCACTGTTTTGATTATGAATATTTAATAGCAATGACAATTTGGTTTTCATTTGAACTAACAAATAAACTGCTGTTTAGGTATCACGACCATAATACTTATTGAAAAACAAGTATATTCATGAAGTTTTGCATAGGATTGTGTAACTTTTCTTTAGAGATCTTTGATATTTTCTCCATCATACAGACTGTCTAAAAACTGTAGCATGGATGTCCTTGGCCCATTCTGGGAAAGCTGTAAAACTGACCATTGCCTGGTCAATTCGACAGAACTAGACTGTGAGAATATAGCAGCAGCTGCTGAGGCATGTAGAGATAACACATGTGTTGTCTGGAGGCCTTCAACACCTGAATGTCGTGAGTATGCTGAATCTAAGAAACTTGACAGTGTGTTTCATGTAAATATTCTCTTTTGATTTGAATTGTAATTTTGAAATAAGCAATAGCTTAATTTAATAGATACATTGGGAACTATTTTAATCCTGCGTGGATCTTGAGGGCACAGCTATTGGAGGGGAAAATGGAGTAAGCTGCCAGCCCATATGGGACATTTTAATTCCTGGGTGCTCCTGTATGTTCCCAGCAAGTGGGCTGAAATGGACAGAAAGCTGACTAGTGGGTGAGAAAGCGTCAGGCAACTAGAGAACACCTGCTATAAAACACAATTGTTTAGAGGCATCAACAAAGGATCAAATTACTGCTTACAGTTGGGTATCGGAGTGCAAAGTTTTTATCAGTTATGTTGCCCTCTGCTATGTTTTCTATTCATTTAGTTGCTATAGGAAGTGAGGGCATGTGGAAGAAATGCATGTTGCCTCTGTACTAGCACATGGTTATAACACACTGACCTAATCATCTGCCATGCCCTAGGTGTAAAATATACAGTGTACAAAACAGGTGTACTTGTGGTGAGTGGCTGATCAAGCCCAAAGTGTTTGTTTAAAGGGTCATTTTATTGGAACCTTTGGATATAAAATCTATACTTTTTCTTTGATTAATTGAATTTATTTTCCACAGTAAAGCTACAAACTGGGTAACTGTATCAATTACACTCTAGGAATTCATCTGTTGACAATAAGTGGGGAGGAAGACAATGAAGTAATGCTCACCAAAGGGGGCTAAAAATACCACTAACACCCAATTGAGTGAGAGAGATGTACAACATTGAAACAGACTTTCAGTCCAACTCGTCCATGCTGAACAGAACTCTTAAACTAATCTAATCCCATTTACCAGCATCTAGCCCAAATCCCTCTAAACCCTTCCTATTCATATAGTCATCCAGATGCCTTTTAAATGTTGTAATTGTACCAGCCTCCACCACTTCCTCTGACAGCTCATTCCATACACTCACAACCCTCTGTGTGAACAAGTTGGCCCTTAGATCCCTTTTAAATCCTTTCCCTCTCACCTTAAACCTATACCATCTAATTCTGGACTCCCCCACACTGGGGAAAAGACCTCGTCTATTCACCCTATCCATGCCAGTCATGATTTTATAAACCTCTATAAGGTCACTCGTCAGCCTCCAATGCTCCAGGGAAAATAGCCCCAGCCTATTCAGCCTCACCATATAGTTCAAACCCTTCAACCCTGGCAACATCCTTGTAAATCTTTTTTGAACCCTTTCAAGTTTCACAACATCTTCCCTATAGCAGGGAAACCAGAACTGAAAGCAGTGTTCCAAAAGTGGCCTAATGACCTCCTAAATTCCTACACTCAATGCATTGACCAATAAGGGCAAGCATACCAAACACCTTCTTCACTATCCTATCTACCTGTGACTTCACTTTCAAGGAACTATGAAACTGCATTCTAAGGTCACTTTGTTCAGCAACTCTCCCCAGGACCTTACCATTAAGTGTATAAGTCCTGCCCTGATTTGCCTTTCCGAAATGCAGCACCTCACATTCATCTAAATTAAAGTCCATCTACCACTCCTCAGCCCATTGGCCAATCTGATCAAGGTCCTGTTGTACTCTGAGGTAACATTCTTCACTGCCCACTACATCTCCAATTTTAGTGCCATTTGCAAACATACTAACCATACCTCCTATGATCACATCCAAATCATTTATATAAATGACAAAATGCAGTGGGCCCAGCACAATCCTTGTGGCACATCACTGGTTACACTCCACCATCACCCTTTGTCTCCTACCTTCAAGCCAGTTCTGTATCCAAGTGGCTAGTTCTCCCTGTATTCCATGTGATCTAACCTTGCTAACCCGTCCACTATGAGGAACCTTGTTGAACACCTTACTGAAGTCCATATAGATTACATCCACCACTCTGCCTTCTTCAATCCTCTTTATTACTTCTTCAAAAATCTCAGTCAAGTTAGTGAGAAATGATTTCTCATGCACAAAGCCATGTTGACTATCCATAATCAGTCCTTGCCTTTCCAAATACATTGCAAGTCTTGTCCCTCAGGATCCCTTCCAACAAAATGTCCATCACTGATGTCAGGCTCATAGGTCTATAGTTCCCTGACTTTTCCTTATCATCTTTCTTAAATAATGGCACCCCATTTTAAAATTAATAGAATTATGGTCACTGGCCCCAAAGTTCTCCCCACCAACACCTGAGTCACCTGCTCTGCCTTATTTCCCAAGAGCAGGTCAAGATGTCCCCCATTATCCAGTAGATACATTCACACATGGAATCAGAAAATTATCATGTACACACGAAACAAATTCCTCTCCACCCAAGCTCCTAACATTATGGCAGTCCCAGTCTATATTTGGAAAGTTAAAATCCCCTACCATTATCAGGAGCTAGATTTCATTAGCTCAAATGCTTCTTCAGTGCTGCAATCCATTTTGGTTCTGCTGAACGATGATATTTGTCTTCAATACAGAAGCCTTGAATAAAATATAATTCTCAACCTGACCACCCTAATAGTGCGCAGAATGAAAATTGTAGCTTTCAACGTTTTTACCATTCATTCTCTTCTAAGGGCTACGGGGGAATTTAGTCAGTATGCAGGTTAGACCAGCATACAACACTAAATGGGCACCTTGGCCAAGGGTGTTTGGTTTGGAATGGTGACTGACTTTCTCAAGGTGGAAAGGATTTTTCAGTAGTACTTGTGGCTCCCTGGGCGTATCTATCAATCCTTTTCTTAAATTAGACCATAAAACTATAAGGTATAGAGGCAGATTTAGGCCATTCAGCCCATTGAGTCTGTTCCACCATTCGACCATAGTCCCCTTTTATCTAACTTGCTTGATGCCTCCTCAAAGAATTCTAACAGATTTGTCAGGCATGACACCCCTTGAAGAAGTCGTGCTGACTCAGCTCTATTTTACTGTGTACTTCCATACATTCTGCAATCCCATCCTTAATAATGGCCTCTAAAATCCTACCAACAACTGAGGTCAGGCTAACCAGCCTATAATTTCCCATTTTCTGCCTCTCTCCCTTCTGAAACATGCATGTTACATTAGCCATTTTCCAGTCCTCTGGGACCTTTCCTGACTCCATGATTCCTGAAAGATCACCACCAATGCCTCCACAATCTCCTCAGCTATCATGGAATCATAGAATCCCTACAGTGTGGAAGCAGACCATTCAGCCAGCGAGTTCACATTGACCCTCTGAACAGCATTCCATCCAGATCCACCCCCTACCCTATCCCTGTAACCATGCATTTCCCATGACTAATCCATCTAAGCTACACATCCCTGGACACATAGCAACTTAGAAAGGCCAATCCACCTAACCTGCATATCTTTGGACTGTGGGTGGAAACCAGAGCACCTTGAGGAAACCCACACATACACGGGGAGAATGTGCAATCCACACAGACAATTGCCCGAGGGTGGATTCAAACCCAGGTCCCTGGCGCTGTGAGGCAGCAATGCTAACTCTGAGCCACTGTATCGCTCCAAGTCCCGCAGAAACCTGGAGTGTGGCCCATCAGGTCCAGGTGATTTCTCCACCTTCAGACCTTTCAGCATCCCAGCAATTTCTCCTTAGCGATGGCCACAACACTTACCTCTGCCCCCTGACTCTCTCGAAGTTCTGGTATGCTACTGGTATCTTCCATCATCAAAGCTGACGCAAAGTGCGTATACATTTCCTCCACCATTTCTTTGTTCCCTATTACTATTTCTCCAGCCTTTTTTTCTAGCAGTCTAATGTACTCTTTTGCCTCTCTTTTACTTTTTAATAATCTAAAAAACACTCTGCAATCTTCTTTTATATTACTAGCTGGCCTATCCTCGCATTTCATGTCCTTTCCCCTTATTGCTTTTTTAGTTGTCCTCTGCTCGATTTTAAAGGTTTCCCAATTCTCTGGCTTTCAGGTAATCTTCACCACATAATATGCATTTTCTCCTGCTTTTTTTTTGCCTCATTCTCCCCTAGTATGTTTCTTCTTCCTTGGAATGAATTTCTGCTATGTCTCCTGAATTACCCCTAGAAAATCCTGCTGTGCTGCTCCACTGCCTTTCCTGCTAGGATCCCCTGCCAGTTGACCCTGGCCAGCTCCTCCCTCATGTCTTTCTAGTTGCCCTTACTCAATTGTAACACCATTACATCTGATTCCAGCTTCTCCCTCTCAAACTGTGGGTGAATTCTATCATCTGGTCACTACTTCCTAGGCCTTCTTTCACCTTCAGCTGGCTAATGAATTCCTTCTCTTGGGCCCGTTACCAATCTGATTTTCCCTGTCTATCTGCATATTGAAGTCCCCCATGTGATTAATATAATAGTGCCTTTCTTACATGCCTTTTCTATCTCCTGATTTATTTCCTTCACCGCATCCTGACCATTGCTTGGGGGCCTGTACACAACTCGCATCAAAGTAATTTTTCCTTTGGAGTTCCTCAAGTCTACCTACACAGATTCACAACTTCTTGCTATTCATTTAATTTCATTCTTACTAACCAGGCAACCCTGCCCCTACTGGCCATCTGCCTGTCCTTTCAAAAGGGTGTATATCCTTGGTTATTTAGTTCCCAGCCTGATCCCCTTGCAGTCACATCTCTGTGATACCCAGAACATCGTATCCTCCGATTTTAATTTGTCTGACAAGCTTACTTACCTTGTTTGGTACACTCGGCACATTCAAGTACAACACCCTCAATCCTGTATTGACTACCCCTTCTCATTGTTGTATCATTAACTGAGGTGCCTGAATTTAGATTTTTGACCCTTTCCATACTCTGACCTATTACTTTTCTGGAAACTTTAATAAACTCTCCTGAGCTGTCTCCCCTTTTAACTAGTTTAAAGTCTTTGTGACCACCTTATTTAGCCTTTCTGCTGGGATCCTGGTCCTAGATTGGTGTAGATGAAGCCCATCCAATTGTAGTGTTTCTTCCTGTCCCAATACTGATGCCAGTGCCCCATGAAGTGGAACCCTCTTTCCCACACCACTCCTTCAGCCACGTGTTTACTTCCATAATCTTCTTATCTCTTCGCCAGTTTGCACGTGGCTCAGGTAATAACCCTGTGATTACAACCTTTGAGGTCCTGTTTTTTAATTTTATTCCTAATTGCTGATATTCCCCAAGCAGGGCCCAATAACACCTTCTGGTCGCCAACTATTTTAATTCCCTCTCGCACTCCCCGGGTGACATGTCCATCCTGGGCCTCCTCCAGTGTCACAATGAAGTCACCTACAAACTGGAGGAGTAACACCTCATATTCCGTCTTGGAAGCCTACAGCCCGATGGCCTAAACATGGAATTCACCAGCTTTAAAATGTCCCCACCCCTGGCCTCATTCCATGTCCAAGCCTCCCTCTCATCCCCGCCTCCTTGATCTGACACAACCTGTCCATCTTCTCTCCCACCTATCTGTCCCACCCATCCCACTGACTAATCCCCACTACTCCCTACCTGCACTCACCTATCACCATCCCACCTACCTTCCTCAGTCCCACCCCTCCTCTCTACTTATTTCTGAGCTCTCTTCTCCCTCTCCATTTCTGAAGCAGGGTCCTGACCCGAAACGTCAACATTCCTGCGCCTCTGATGCTGCCTGGCCTGCTGTGTCCCTCCAGCTCCACACTGTGTTGTGTCTGTCTATGTTGTTGGTGCCAACATGGACCACAACAACTGATCCTTCCCCTCCCTCTCCGGTATCATTTCAAGCTGACTTGAGGTGTCCTTCACCTTGGCACCAGGTAGACGTCACACCATTCAGATACTCTTGACCTCAATCGCAAAGGTTGTTATCTTCCCTCTCTAATTATAGAATCTCCTACAAATATCACCTTTCTTTGTACTCACCCCATTTGAATGGCTTCCTGGACTATGGTAGTGGTCAGTTTGTAGCCCCTTTCCTCATCCACACAGGGAGCAAGTAGCTCATACCTGTTAGACAAGGTCAAGAATTGAAGTTCCTCCAATACTACGTTCAGGATCCTTCAACTGCATCACTTGTGGTCACACCCTGCTGTCCCTGACCTGTGGCCAAATTTGAAGTATTTAAGCTATACAGTATGACTACCTAGAACACAGCATCAAGGTAACTACCCACCCCGCCCCCACTCCTGACTGTGATGCAGTGTCTGAAACTCAGACTCCAGCTCATTAACTTTGAGCTGCAGTTTCTCGAGCTGCAGACACTGACAGATGTGGCCACTATGACTCGCCTTGAGATCCCACATCATACAAGAACAACTCGTCACCTGTACTGTTATTTCTAATATAGTTAATTAGGTTTTATTTATTGTTTAAAAATCTTATTCTTGGATTGTCCCTAAATTATCAAAGCCCTTTCTAAATCTGCTACTATTTAAGGCTAATCCCTAAAGCCAGTCCCTAACCAGCCAGTCAGACCACAGTTTATCTGTAATGTCACTTTCTAAACAAAATTGAAAAGACATGCAGAGATCAGAATGATCAAAAACCCTGTGTTTAAGTTGTGATCACTTAAGCCACCCTTTTCCTCCACTCAGGTGACTCTGAACATGTTCTACGTGCTTAGTATGCAGCTGATATGTAAGCAAAACTACAGCATCTTAGGTTTTGGCAAATTAGCGAAAAGGACAGTGCTTTAGACCAACCTTGTCAGATTAATAGTTGCCTTAAGCCATGCAGGGTTATGTTCATAAGGAGAATGAGAGAGTAGGGAGAGCCGGCATAGATAGCCTATCTCAAAGCTCACCTTCTTCACTGCTGTCGATCTTATCTGATCTGAAGATGTCAATGCTAATCATTTTAGTACTGTTTGCAGGATGGCAAGGTGGTGATAGAAGGGTAGAAATGTGTGAAATATATCTCATGTAGGCATGCTACCAGTTATTGGCTTCTCACTGCTTCCACCACCTGACAAATCTTTGCTCCGTCCGGTTCACAATCATTCCATTCTGAGAGACCAAAATCTGTTGACATGGCTGTTACAGTGTTCCACATTCCTAAACGATGTATTCGTCTTCACTTCTAAAACTTCTTAAACCGAACTTTCCTTTCTGCAACTTTCTCCTGTTGAACAACTGACCCTGAGAATATACTAAACAAGGATTAAAATATAATAATGTGAGCATATTCCAGGAAGTTCTCTGTTAATGCTAATCACCTTTATTTCAAAACTTAGTAATGCAATAATGGCAGTGTGTATTGGTATTTGTGACAGTTTATTACTAGTCTCATTTCATTTAAAATTAGGCCATGATTTTTGTTTTCCATTTCTGATGGTTTACCTAACTGCTTTTTGTGTAATTTGTGATCACATTTCTTTTATATTTTTCATAGCTTTTAAGTGCAAAGCACCTAAGGTTTATAAGCCTTGTGAAATGAAGGAAGATGATTATTGTGAGAACAAGTAAGTATGTGCACTTTCTTTTGTGTAATTTCAGTTTGATTCTGATTTTTATATTATAAAAAATATAAGAAGAACTAAGAAGTGGCCCCATTGAAATTTAAAGTTGAATTTCAGGTTGTGAAAGCAGTATTGCAATAGTCCAACAGAAGTGTGATGCCATCAGCTCACAAACCCACCAACTCAAAAATTAGCAGCCTCTCCACCATTTTAAAATCATTAATTGTGAACTAGTTAAGCTAGTTACCAGAGTGAATGATTGCAATGTTACATTCCACACCCTATAAAATTCCCCATGTAAGTGCCTGAGAAACATATCCAATGGGAAGTTTGAGTTTCTTTCAGGGCTGCTTGGAACAGGGTCAAGTGTTTATTTTATTCATTCATGGGATGATGGTGTTGCTGGCTAGGCAGTATTTATTGCCCAGAGGGCAGTTAAGAGTCAGCTACATTGCTGTGGGTCTGAAGTCGTATGTAGGCCAGACCAGGTACAGATGACAGTTTCCTTCCCTAAAGGACATTAGTGAATAAGATAGGTTTTTTTGACAATTGACAATGGATTCATGGTCATCATTAGATTCTTAATTCCAGGTATTTATTGAATTCAAATTCCACCATCTGCCATGCCAGGATTCGAGCCCTTGTCCCTGGAACATTTTCTGGGTCTCTGGATTAACAGTCCAATGATAATACCACTAGGCCATTCTACCGCGCACCCCGCTGCTGCACCATGTGTTCTCTTGCATCATGCACTTCTCAGCACATTATACATGCATGTGAGATGTGGTGGGAATATAACAGCAGATATTATGGGACACTGGTAAATAGGAAGTTCTCACCCCCACCTCTGGATCCATGCAGGCACAGGTCTTTGTACAATACCTGCCATCTGTAAGATGATATCTCTCAGGTCATCCTGTTCTGTATAGCCGCTCATCAGATAGAGATAGCAGCAGAGCCATTATCAGGTCTCTTCAAAATATTCATGGTTGCTCTCTTTAAAATAATAATGGTTGCACTCTCACTTTCAGTCAAGTGAAAGAAGGGCTGAGGTTAGCCTCTTATGAAGAAGGCTGCTTTTGTCCACATGGAATGAAGCTATCGGAAAACAGAACCGAATGTGTTTCTACATGTAAGCTTACTTACCTTCACTTGATATGCAATTATTTTGATAATTTTGCAGTCAGATAAAATCGTAATAGTAATTACTTTAAAACAACTTGGATGTCTGTTTGACATAAAATCATAAAAATGACAAAAGTTTGTGTTGAATACAGGTTGCCTGGACAATGATGGGAAAAGGAGAAATGTAAGTCAATCAGAATTTGATATTTCCTTTATTCGGAACACTTTTGTAACAGTCATTTATTAGCTATGATCATATATGATACAAGAGAATTTAATTGTTTTCTTCATTCCATTGCACCCTTTAGAACAATAACATTGAACAATTTTTGAGTGGTTATGAAGATACACTTGGAAAAGAAAATAGATGGCATTTTATTAATTTTATTAAGATCAATCTAATATGTTTGATAACTCAAATGTAACCATTGCTTGGATCTCAGAAATGCTAGAATATGACATGGAGTTGCATTTTGCAAATACAATGAATTATAATAGCAATTTACTGCATCTCTTCTTTAAGTAAGAGGATTCCACAGATTAGTAACAATTTTACCACACAGATTTGTTGAGAAGATATATGACACTGTGAGAAGACTTGGATTATTAGACTGACTAGCTGTAGGTGGAAATTGCACGGGTTATAAATCTGGGAATTGCTGCTTTAAGATTTTACGCTAATGGCATTTTCCAGGCTTCTCGGCTCGAGTACGACAAAATAAAGAGGTAACTGTGGAAGTGCAGTTATGTTTAGTTTGTTTTCAACAAGTGTAACTATTAACTGGAAAAACAAGAATATCAACATAACTTCAGCACAAACCTCAGAAACATTGCATAAAAGCTATTTATATATGTCGCCTCTCCAGCAATTCACTGCTTTCTTACTGTATAATTCCTGTGGAAATTCCAGTGAGCATATTTTTTAATCAGTCACTGTCATTCTGTTTTACAAATTTAAGGTTTTTAATTTCTATTCTTCCTAATTAGCTGTAAATCTTAATTTGATATTTAACCAGAATATTGCACCTGGAAATCCAAAGCTTCTGATATACTGTTGCTGTAATTTCAGCAGGAGTCTCCGCAAGACTTTGAAATTAGACTGGGAATCTGCTACAGCAGGTCCCAGTTAAGTGCACAGAGTTTGGCAAGGCCTTGTAAAGGGACATAGCCTGAGCTCATTGATATCAGAAAAGACTAGGTCAGGGACAGAGACTTAAGATATAACAATTCACTCAGACAGAGTGACAGCCAACATACTCTGATGGGATGCATAGCAAATGGAGAGGCTGGCCAGGATCGTGGTCTGAACCCCCGAAAAGGATTTTCTTTTTAATATGAATAACCTTAAAAACATCATTCCCTTACAAAAAACAAACTTCCCAGCTTCTCCAGTGAGCAGATGCTTAAGATGCAGCTGTTTTGGTAAGGGTGTGAAATTGTTGGCATTTCTAACCCCAGATACCCTGGTCAAATTTACACAAGTCTCACTTAGATGTACATTCTCTGTGATTTTCAGGTCTATTATAGTTAACAAGTATATTGAGATTATTAATGGTGGAAACTGTACATTTGTGAAAACCCAATTAATGAACATTAACACAAGAACTGGTGACATTAAATTGTTTGATTTATTTGACTGAGAAAGATTAGTTGAATTTTTTCATCTATTATGCTGCATCTGTCATTCCTAGGAGGGTGAATGGTGGGTTGATCCCAACGACAATTGTGTTTTCTACACATGTTCTGAAACTGGAGTTCAAAAAAGTACAATAACTTGTTCCAAACAGTCTGTTTGCAAAGAGGTTTGTATAGTATATGATTCACGTTTACCAGATGTTTCTTCATCCTGATTTCAGTTCATTTTGCTTTGCTCCATCTTTCTGTGATTTCACTTCTTTACACCTTCCCCTTTTCCCTTTTTCAGTTTCTATGTGGCTGTCACAAATTGTTTAATTCTCCTGTTACCTCATTTCTATTATTTTTGTTTGACTTAAAATTTCTCTGTGATGTTGTTATATTGATCCTGATTTGACTTCCACCTACATGGTATTATTTAAGCTAGAACACAAGAAGTGATCTCTATCTGATATGTTTGAAGCTAAACACATTTCTGGGTTGGAACAATTATCACAGCCCCAGTTACCAACCAGTGATGATCAGAAGCTGCAGTATGGCCCAACTGTAGGGTTCTCTGCCTCCATGTCCAAAACTGGACATTTCCCAAGCAGAGCTAGAACAAAAAATATCCCCCGTTTTTTTTTATAATCCTGTAATTGTTTCTTTTCCTTACCCGCATGTCATTTACTCCTCCTTTCTCATGAAGAATATATCAAGTGGGTTACAAATCTCTCAACAACCTAATATAGTAATAACAAATTGATACTCATAGATAGGTAGAAAGGCAATCATGTCAGTGGGACTGTGATCCTCAGTAATGGGTTTCCAATTAATAGTTTTCTTTTAAAAGAAGTCAAATATTGATGTTTCATAAGTTCGATCATGTTTCATCAAACTTATTTTAAATTGAGTATATAGCAAAATGATTAGAGACATTTCTGGAAAAAATGGCCCTATGGAGGGCTTGATTTCCTATTTTTTAGTCATAAATTAACAAAATGGACCAACTTTATAAAGGCATAAAAGTCTCACCACTAAAGATTCAAAGAAAACAGGTGGCACTGTGGTTCTGTGGTTAGCACTACTGCCTCACGTTGCTAGGGACCTGGGTTCAATTCCCACCTTGGGTAACTGTCTGTGTGGAGTTTGCATGTTCCCCTTGTGTCTGCATGGGTTTCCCCCAGGTGTTCTGGTTTCCTCCCACGGCCCAAAGATGGGCAGTTTAGGTGAATTGGCCATACTAACTTGCCCATTGTGTCAAGGGATGTGTGAATTGGCCATACTAAATTGCCCACAGTGTTAAGGGATGTGTGGGTTAAAGTGGTAGGGGGATGGGTCCGGGTGGGATCCTCTTCAGAGGGTCAGTGTGGGCTGAATGGCCTGTTTCCACACTGTAGGGATTCTATAATAATAATATTTATATACTTATAAAAATTTCTACTGTTATTTTTCATTGCTTAGTCTGAGAAAGTGTGGGATCAATATAAATGCTGCTATTCATGTGGGTCAGAAGGTAAGAATTTCATTACTTTATGTTCAAATTTATTAATGTTCTGGTTGATCTGTTGTGTTGCTGTACATGACTATTATGAATAAAGTATTGTATTGTGTATGGGGATGACTATGAGCAGGAAGTCGACATCAGAGGGGTGAAATTTGAAAAAAAAAAAATGGGTGTTGGAAAAGTATTTCAGGGAATGGGTGTTGCTCTGACTTTCCAAGAAACAAAATGGAATTTGACTTTTCATTTTTTTATCATTGAAGGGGCTTTAATATTTTCTAAATATTCTTCATAGTCTTTTGCCCATAATAGATGTGGGATTTTTGTACTGAATAGTTGCAAATTATTCAAACATTTGAATACTAACTGTACTTTAGTTTTTGATGGCTCTTTTTGTAAAAAAATAAAAAAGAGAATGACTGCCTTTACTTCCGACTAGAAACAATTTCTTCAACTTTGTTCATGAATTGAGGCATAATTGTTTAAAGCAATTTGGCGCCATAAATTTTAACATACATCTATACTAAATTCTCTAAAAGAATCAAGTATTGCAGATAACTGTGGAGGCTTTTGCAAGTAAACTTCTTCATTGGACCAAGTTGACATAGATTTTACAAATCATCTTGAAATGAATGTTGTGATCTACCTGCTATGTGTAATATACAAATAGATGTTGATTCTTCCTTATAAAATCAACTCTTCAAATTGTACAAATCATGCTGCCCAGCTTGGTGTGGCAATTGTTGGGTTTATCCAAAAAACATCCTTTTAGAACTTTGGAGAGGACAGTTTTTACACAGATATAAAAGTACAAAAATATTTTATTCACAGTTGAATGTACCAACCAATTCATAATGATACCATATTAATAGATATTTGAAGGATAAGTGTGCAAACCATTCATGGTCAGAACAGCAGGTTGTGCCTCAAGTTACTGTAATGTTCTTCCATTCTGCATTACGTGACAATATGATTATGAAATGTGACTGCAACTGATCAGACAGCAACTGTAACAAGCCACCCATGGTGTGGAGTGGCAAAGTATTGAGTTTGTCCATTAAGAGAATGAAATTGGACACAGACTGGAAAGTGAATGAGCCTGAAAACATAAAAAAGTTAATGTAAGTTGGCATTCAAAAAAAATACGAACAATTGTAAAAAGGCTAAACTTTATTTAACATCACAGATGAATTGCATGACACACCATCCAAATGCAACATTCCCTGCTATGCCCTACATTTAGATAGGCTTTTTGAGACGTATTTATTTTTAAGCAACTTGTTGGCAATGTCATCATGTTGAGCATTGCAAACATCCTTATTTTGTTCCTACCTAACATCTGTATTTCCATTACGAATCACCTAAGTAGCTTTTAGAAGCAAGAAACTCTTTTGACTTTTCCCTGTCAAAACTCAGATGTGCCAAGTGCACCAAGATTGCTCTGTTACCTCACAATTATAAATGGTTCATTATTACTTTCTGTGTTGTTTTTCTCATCATTATAATTTAGCTTTGTGTTTTCTGGATGCTCCAATTCTATGATCATTTTCTGTTTTATGTACCTTTGCAAATCACTTAGTCTGCTACTCATTGACAGATGTCTCAGTATGTTGACCATGGGGATTCTGCAGCGTGAAACAACCATAAATCATGTTCCATTGTGTGGTAGCATTTTTGTGCCCAAATATATTTAAAATTTTAATTTTACAAATCAACAACTATTCAGGGATCATCCATTGCTCACTCCAAATAATTAAATCTCCCCTTCCAGAATCTTCAAATTGGGTGGTGCTGTCAATGAGAAATAGTATGATGTCATTAATTAGAAACTTTGCCTCTGTCATCTGGTTCTTATCCAATTCAGGATAAAAAAACAACAATCTCCCCATTTTCTGACTAAGAAGAAATTTGCAATCATATATCTTTCAAAATCTCAGGATGCCCTGAAGCATTTACAACGAATGAAATACCATTTGAACTGTCATTACAGTTGCATTATTGGAAGCTTTACAGGCAACATGTGCAGAAGAAAGGGTTATAATCTGTAATTAAATACATGACTAGATCGACCGTTCCAACTGTAGAAAAATTTGGGGCCAGGACATTGGGAGACCTCTCCTGCTCTTCTACCAATGGTGGCATTGATCAGCTTCTGTGGGTGTGCCACATCTCACAGTTCAGCACTGTCCTAATTCAGCACCCTATATAGTCAATCTTATTTAAGGTACTGGAAAGTAAAAAGAATAAAATAAAATATATCGCACTTGTGCATCAGGACATTGTGTAAGCAGGTGTTGATGGCATTGTTAGAATAGGGCGTTAGAATGCTCACTCTGCACTGTGCATCCAATGTCCAACCTGGATGTGCTCCATGTGCTCACTGTTCCCGAGCCTATTGATTTTCATTTTGAGCACAAAAATAACATTAAGGTGTGGTGAGTTGCAATGGTTTAACTTGAATTTCTGTGTCATCTTTGAAGAATTAGTAAAGTTCTTTTATATGTTTCCCCTCTGTTTCACCGAGAGCTAATTGAAAATATTACTTGTTAGCAAGACACATGCATTCCAAAGGAAATAACTTTGTATATGAGTTAAAATTAACTCAAAGAGAAATGAATTTATAAAATTTATGACCAATTGATGGCAGAACCATTCAGGTGTCTCACAATGTGGATTTACAACTGTGTTTTCTGTAATACAGTTATAGCTCAAGTTTAATTTTTGTTATTGATTTTATGAACTATAGTTCGCACCTGCAAAATGCTGAACCGCACAGAACATGTCACGAAAACCGTGGATAATCGTCAATGCTCAGCAGAAGTCAGCTTCAACATATGTGAAGGCAATTGTTTTACATCATCTCAGTAAGTATATGTGGGAGGTGATGGCCTAGTGGTATTATTGCTGGACTGTTAATCCAGAGACCACTGTAATATTATGGAGATAGGGGTTCAAATCCTGCCATGGCAGATGGTGGAATTTGAATTCAACAAAAAAATCTGGAATTGAGAATTTAATGATAACCATGAAACCATTGTCAGCTGTTGGGGAAAACACATCTGGTTCACTAATGCCCTTTAGGGAAAGAAACTGTCATCCTTGCCTACATGTGACTCCAGATCCACAGCAATGTGGTTGACTCTTAACTGCCCTCTGGGCAATTAGGGATGTACAATAAATACTGGCCCAGCCAGCAATGCCCTCAGCCCATGAATGAGTAAAAAAACATTTTGTGTTTTTAATTGTAATTTAAATAGAATCATTAAACATTTTCTCAGAATCGAAAAGAATAAGAATTGTCTGAAATTGCAGCTACAAATGTTAATTTGATATTTGGAAACCATTTTGGTTGTTTTTGAGTAAACACCAATCTATACACAGCAATATGGAAGTATAAGATAGCCAAATATAAATTTCAATCAAATGTTAAGGGTTACAGTAGCTGTGTTGGAGTAAAAATGTTTAAATCTGGCTTTGTTCCCTATCTTTTTGTTTTAGCGTCTGTTCTATACTGACAGGATCAAACTGACTGACACAACTAAACTGATGCAGTTTACCAAGTCAAAGTATTTGTAGTTATTCATTCTGTTTCTTATTCGATTGATTTTTCCTGAGAGACTTCAGGCATCAAGACACCATAACATATAGGGGAAGAATTAGGCCATTCTGCCCATCAAGTTTTCTTCACCATTTGATCATGGCCAATATGTTTCTCAATCTCATCCTCTTGCCTTCTCCCCGTAACCGTCGATCCACTTACTAACCAAGAACCTATCTATTTCTGTCTTAAATACGCTCAATGACCTGGCCTCAACAGTCATCTGTGGTGAAGAGTTCCACAGATTCACCACCTTCTGGCTGAAGAAATTCCTCCTTATCTCAGTTCCAAAGGGTCATCTCTTCACTCTGAGGTTGTGCCCTTGGGTCCTAGTATCTCCTCTGAGTGGAAACATCTTCTCCACATCCACTCTATCCAGGCCTGTCAGTATTCTGTAAGTTTCATGAAATCCCACTTCATCCTTCTAAACTCCATTGAATACAGAACCAGAGTCCTTAACCACTCCTCATATAACAAGCCCTTCATCATCGAGATCATTCTTGTAAACCTCTTCTAAAACCCCTCCAATGTCAGAACATCTTTCCTTAGATACAGGACCTAAAACTGCTCACAATATTCCAAATGCAATCCGGCTAGATCTTTATACAGCCTCAGTAATGCAACACTCCTCTTGTATTCTCGCCGTCTTGAAATTAATGTTAACATTGCATTTGCCTTTCCAACTGCCAACTGAACCTGCATGTTTACCCCAGAAAATCCTGAACTAAGTGCCTTTGTTCTTTAGATTTCTGAAGTCTTTTCCCATTTAAAAAAAAAGACCATGCCTCTTTTCTCCCTACCAAAGTGCATAGCGCCACACTTTCCCACATTGTATTCCATCTACCACTTCTTTGCCTTGTCTCCTAGCCTGCCCAAGTCCTTCTGTGGCCTCCCCAACTTCCTCAATACTGCCGGTCCCACCTCCTGTCTTTGTGTTATCTGCAAACTTAGCAACAATGCTCTCAGTTCCTTTGTTCAGATTGTTAATGTATAATGTGAATAGTTGTGGTCCCCACACAGACCCCTGTGGAACTCCACTGGTCACCAATTGCACAAGTCATTGGTTCCACTGACTACCAGCTGGAATTGGTCAGTCTCTCCATGCAGGAGAAGAGTTTAAGTTAAGGATGGATTCTGCCCAATCTACAATATTATCTGCCATTGTGTTTCCTTTTCTTCTGCAAGCAACTATAGGACATTTCTCCTTTTGCTGGATCTCTTCCACCAGGACTTCCAGTACCGTATCTGATCACCCATGCGCCCTGTGTTTTAGCTGCTGAAATATTGTCAAATGTTCTGTTGTGTGTCAGCTAATGCAATGTTCCCCTTAGCGGAAATGACTGTTAAGGTGGTTACATGTACTCCTCCTTGGAAATTATCTTGAACTGTCAAGAATGATAAAGCTGCATGAGTTTGATTTAGAAATGTCAGGCCCAGCTAAATCATTGTAGTCATTGATTAGGCCTAAAATTTTATGCTAAATCTAACTTTTCAAACAGGTGTCCACTGCACTCACTTAGTAACTTTTTGCACTATTTCGTTAAAAGAAATCCCCTAATCCCCATACCTTTCAATATCTTCACTCTAAATATATTGTTCCAGTGGCAGTATATAATCATGCTCTGAATATGATAACACATTCTTCAAAGTAACACGAGTTGTTGCACAATTAATCTTTTGTTAAGCAGCTTTAGACATTTCAGACAGACTTGAGTATTGTTACTTAAACAGGGTAATTTTGTTGCATTTGTTCCTATATTTTCATCAGTGAAATCTGTGTCCTTCTTATCTTTCAGCTTTAACACCACATCAGGCAACATTGAGCGCAACTGTATGTGTTGCCAAGAAAAAGAGTTTGATGTAAGGACAGTGGACCTTGACTGTGGGAATGGAAAGACTACAAAATATACATACAAATACATCAAGTCATGTGACTGCAGTAATAATATCTGTATATTTACACAAGGCAGCAATCTCAAATGAGTGAACTGAATCTTGAACTTTCAAGTTATAATTCAATTTACAACTAACTTTTGAAAATAAGTTTTAAATCATTTCTTTTCATTAAATAGCACAGAAGAGCAAATAAGATGTAATGAGAAAGAAGTAACATCTAGCTACTATTCAAATTAGGATACAGTGATCCTTTGTTGTATAAACTTGTCTATGTTTTCAAAATTACCTACAACTATCAATAAATAACTGCAAGCAACAAATCTTCACAGTCAATTATTATATTAGAAGATTTAAGCTAACTAAATGCAAAATTGCCCTCTTAAACTATCACCTGTTTACTTCAGGACTGAAATACCTCAGTGCTGACAATCTACATCATATCAGAGATATTCTACTAAATAATGTCAGAAATTAATTAAGTGTCATTTTTGGCGAATTTCATGGAGGATTTCTGTCCACGAGGCTACCTGGTTTTTTTCACAATATGTTCCCAAGCTCGTCTCATTACTTATGCACCAAAACCCGATGGCACCTACCACCGCACCCCCCCCCACCCCGGTCCTGTTCTTCCACTCACAGCAGAGAGAAGTTTAGAATGCCTGCTTTCTCTGAATGAATAAAAAAAAGAAATCTGCAGACAGAAAAATACAACTAATATTTCATCAGAACATTCTATTGAAGGGTCACTGGACTTGAAGCATTTATTCTGTTTTTCTTTCTTCAAACCTGTTAAGTTTCTCCAGCATTTTCCATCTTGTTTCAGATTTCTAGCATCTGCAGTTCGTTGTTTTATAATATAAAATAAAATGCCTTGATTTGAAGGAAGTTAATATGATATTTTATAATTCCAAGCTGGGGGTTATATCGTTATGTCCCTTAAATCAGTTTAACAAAGGAAATGTAGAAGTTGAATTCAAAACAGGAATTTTTACATGAGGGTACTATTATGCTCCCTAAAGAAAACTGTCATTGTCGGCAACCACTCACTAATGAGTACAATTGTCCACCAAGGAATCCCTATGTCACTGATCATGGGTTTTGTGGGTCTGTGAGCTAATGAGCACAATCCTAGAGCCACATCTCTGACCACATATTTGGTGTGTGTTTCCAAGTAGTGGGATTGATCTTTGGTCTTAAGACTGCTGCATTCTTGTTTCAGGTTTCTTTTAGAACATAAGAACTAGTAGCAGGAATACTCAGTTCAGTCACTTGAGCCCGCTCCACTATTTAATAGAACGGTTGACCTCATCTCGGCCTCAATCCCGTTTTCCTGCACACTTCCTGTCACCTTTCAACCCTTTACTAATTCCAAAGCTGTTGACTTCCTCAGGTGAGAGAAATAAGTGCACATTAATGGAACGAGCATAAATAATAATGAGGATATTAATGAACAATAATGCCTGTGAATGGGCTTCTTGCCTCTCAGTAGTGAGAATTAACTGTCAAAGACTGAGACACAGTTGGAAAATGTGGCTTTCAGTCTCAGTGCCGTGAATGTGTCTTGCTCAACATCTCACCTGATTTTCCCAAAATTTCCCACCATAATACACATTGTTCAGGGTCTGAGATAAATTCTATCATAAGCATTTTTTGAATTTTTTTTTACAAATGATGGAGTTAGATTTGCAATTTGCTAATATAAAGTGATAATCCCCGAATGAAGGCTGCCTTGACAAATCAAGGCTGAAGCACCTGCAAGTTTCTCACTTATTTTCTTCAAAATATAGGTCCTGGGGATTTGTCAGTCTTTTAGGGCCATTATTGTATAAATTTTGTTTCTTGTTTTTATTTTTAGTATGTTCCAGTCCTTGATTCATTATTAAATTCCCTGGAACTCCAAGCATTGCATCTTTTTCCTCTACTCAATGTAATGAGAAGTTCACTCAATGTTTTGCTCTCAAACATGATAACACTGGATCAGGGAATTTCAGACACTAATGCAGGTGAAATAAAATGAAAGATTGGGCAATCACAACACCAGCAGCAAGCCATAGGTGCATGATAGAAGTAGGTGATCAGGACGATGGAGAGATTGGGCCAGGAAGGAGGCAGAAGGTGGAAGGAATGAGGGTGATTTTTTGGGAGATGGTGATTGCAGCATTATAGCAAACTGGACAGGCAATGTATCTTTAACACAAATAAATGATATCACAACATGTTTCTCCCCTCAAGAACCATATGCACAATGGGCTCAGTGCTATAGAGTCAGTACAGTGTGTAGTCGTCATAATCAGTTATGTGTACTGCTACCATCATGTAAACTACCTGTAGCATCAGTAAGAACAGAATCCAGACACTGTGTTTTTAAGTCAGAGATATTGTAACAATATAAACAATTTGTGTTGTTAATGTAGAGATTATAACAAAGTTGGTCAGGTGGACCTCATAGAATATGAGTTCCTTAGTTGGGGCTATTAATCTGGTCCAATCAGAGATGTCTGGCTGACAGAGAAGAACGGGCATGTCAGATATCCTGTTCACTTGAGCAATGGTTCTGAGGAAGCTGGATCAGTGTCATGGACTTTCTAAGTGTAAATAAAGAGTTACTTGTTAAGGGGTACTGGCCTCTATGGAGGTATTTCATAGAATTATAGCTGCAGACCCTTTGGTCCAACCAGTCCATGGCAAACATAATCCCAAACTAAACTAGTCACACTTGCCTGCTCCTGGCCTATATCCCTCCAAACATTTTCCTATTCAAGTATCTATCCAAATATCTTTTATATATTGTAATTGTATCTACATTCACCACTTCCTCAGGAAGTTCATTCCACACGTGAACCATCCTCTGTGTAAAAAAATTGTATCTCATGTCTTTTTTTAAATCTCTCTCCTCTCATCTTAAAAATGTGCCCCCTAGTCTTGAAATCCCCCATCCTAGGGAAAAGACAACTACTGTTAACTCTATCCATACTTCTCATTATTTTATAGACTTCTATCAGGCCACCTCTTAAATTCCTCCCCTCTGGTGAAAAATGTCCCAGCATGTCCACACTTTCTTTTTTACTCAAACTTTCCATACCTGGCAACAACCAGGTAAATCTCTTCTGAACCCTCTTCAGCTTGATAATATCCTTCCTATAACTGGGTGACCAGAACTGGACACAGTATTCCAGAAGGAGCCTCACCAATGTCCTGTAGAACCTCAACATGACTTCTCATCTCCTATAGTCAAAGGATTGAGCAATGAAAGCAAGCGTGTCAAATGCCTTTTTAACCACCCTGTCTATATGTGAAGCAAACTTCAAGGAATTATGTACCTGCATCCCTAGGTCCTTCTGTTCTACAATTTTGGTTAATAAACTTCAAGACACCTGTCTTGACAAAAACTCAGTTGTGATGGTATTCGTTCCTTTGGCTGACATTTGCTCAGAAGCTCAAAGACCGTATCATATTGGGTGTGGTATTTGATGTAATAAGTCATATCCATGCCGACGATTTGAGGGTTTTGAAGATCGGAATAAAGCAGAGAAGAAGGGGGACATGATGGAGATGTCTCAAATTGTGAGGGGGACAGACAGAAAGACATGAAGGAACTTTTCCCTTTGATGGAGGGATCAATGAGCAGGGGACATAGATTTAAGGTGAGAGGTATAAGATTTAGGTAGGATGTGAGGAAAATATTTTTTTGAGTCAAAGGGTGTTGGGATTCTGGAATTCACCGCCTGAAAGGGTGGTAGAAGCAGAAGCCCTAACAACATTTAAGGCGTATTTGGATGTGCAGTTGTGATGCCAAGGTATACAAGGCTATGGGCCAAGTGCTGAAAAATGGGATTAGAATAGGTAGAATGATGTTTTTGACCAGCGCAGACTCGATGGGCAAAGGGCCTTCTTCTGTGTTACAGATCTTTATGACTCTAACATTGACATGATTTAAAACCTGTTCAATGTCAACCGAGATAGCAAGAACTGCAGATGCTGGAGTCAGAGGCAACACAGTGTGGAGCTGGAGGAACACAGCAGGCCAGGAAGCATCAGAGGAGCAGAAAAGTTGCTATATCAGGTCTGGACCTTCTTTGGAAATGGAGAGGGAGCTGGGAAATAAATAGAGAGAAGAGAGGCGGGGTTGAGGAAGGTACATGGGATGGTGATAGGTGGATGCAGGTAGGGAGTGGTGGGGATTGGTCAGTGAGAGATAGTAGGCACTGCCAATGCTGGAGTCTAAGATAATGTGTAGAGCTGGATGAACACAGCAGGCCAGGCAGCATCAGAGGAGCAGGAAAGCTGATGTTTCGCGTCTGGACCCTTCTTCAGAAATAGTCAGTGAGATGGGAGTGGCGGATAGGTGGTAGAGAAGATGGATAGGTTATGTCAGGTCAAGAAAGCGGGAATGAGAGGGAGAATTGGACATGAGATGATGCCGGGGGTGGGGACATTTTAAAACTGGTAAATTCCATGTTAAGGCCATCGGGCTGTAGGCTCCCAAGGCGGAATATAAGGTGCTGCTCCTCTAGTTTGCATGTGGCATCATTGTGACACTGGAGGAGGCCCAGGATGGACATGTCACCCAGGGAGTGGGAGGGAGAGTTAAAATGGTTGGCGACCAGAAAGTGTTGTCATTTATCGCATGCAGAGCACAGATGCTCTACGAAACGGTCTCTGAGTCTACGCTTAGTGTCACCGATGTAGAAGAGGCCACATCAGGAGCAGCTCCCATCCCCCTCCCCATTTCTGAAGAAGGGTCCCGACCTGAAACGTCAACTTTCCTGCTCCTTTGATGCTGCCTGGCCTGCTGTGTTCCTCCAGCTCCATACTCAGTATCAAACGATCCTTCTTAATGGTCCATTAATGAACAAAAGAAGGATCATTCATGCTGAAAGTAATTGATCTTTGTTTTACGTCAGCTGTCAAAACACTACTATGTGAAGACATGGTGTGTGGAAATGCCCTGGAACATTTTACTTTCTAAATTAGATTTTATCTCAAAAAGTCATTGCTCTTAAATCACTCAAGCGTACAGATATGGTTCAAAATGTGGCTCAATCTTACATAGTTGGCTGCTTTCTACATTCCTGGGCAATAAGTTTACTGACAAGGAAATGAACTGAATCAAACTTAGTCATCCACATTTCATCACCTTATAGTCTTCTGCAGTCAAGCATTGTGCAACATTCAGGAACCTAGACTCAGATAGCTCTCATCGTTTAAGTAAACGTTATTATTCCTTTTGCTACAAATCACCAGCTCCAAAGGAGTTACTGAACAGATAACAAAGAGCAAATTGTCATGGATTAACCTGAAAATTTCTT